GTCGTTTTTCGTCGTTATTTAGAATAGTAATATATGTCTCAAACAAAATACTGTTGTTAGATGAACATTGCTATCTTTTTCTGGAATCACAAACACACCTGTATTCAATGCATCCTGGTAATTGATACACGAGGTTCAGGTGATCGGAAAAATCTATCCAGAAGTAACTGAACTAAATTTTCACACACAAATAACGAGGAACAGCATCAAGTATATTAATGTTATAATGTAGTGTGAATAATGTAGTAAGCTCGATTTCTAGCACTGGTGGAAATCGTTTGCCGGTGGGAATCTCTTCGCAACGGCATTATTTTTTCATATATGATCTTTGTAAGATATGCAGGAATCAATTCGTTGGTGGCTACCTGCTGATTACCGTGCTGTGTGATACTTGTCTGAGACCTATTTTCAACAGACTTATTACAAGATATTCATCATCATCGTTACATAAAAGGCTGTAATGATGATGAATATCTTGTAACCTTAAATAATATATTTATTTAAAAACCTGAAACATTTACGTAATAAATGAAAAACGTCATTATGAAACCACCATACACAATCGCACTGATAGCGATGAATATGGGAAAATATTCAAAAAAAAAATTAGGAAAACCTTTGTCTTGTATGAGTGATGTAATAAGTTTTGTTGTCTAACTTTTATTAGAATTAGATAATGTCAACATACATTTATTGCTTTAAAAGGTTTTTTTATTTTAAAATAACATCTGATAAAATTATTTTATGCAATGGAAATTTTAATAATTGTGTTCAAGCTGCGGATCAGCTCACTGAAATTACGCAGCGCATATTCAATGAAAATTTATTCTTATTTATAAGAATAAATTTTCATTGAATTGATATAATTTATTATAAATTAAAATTCTGAATTTTTTGCATCTAAAAGTCTGCAAATAAGGAAAGTGAAGTAAGAAGAAAAAGAAGTGTTATTATGGAATTTCAATTTTGGGATTAAAATTATATGAACTTACGTAAAATGATTATAGATTTGTCACTTAAAAAAAAACAGGATAAAATTAACCTATAATTTTTTGTCCGTTTTTCTTTCTATTGGTCTCAATCTTGGAACAGCTATGGTAAATTTTGATGTTGATGATAAATATTAAAATTCCAAACTCAATTAAATATGTTCGATTTGTAAGATATTGACTAGAGAGATTCAATAAGAAGTCAGCAAGGCAATTTAATACGTACACAATATTATAGGATTTTGGGGTAAAGCTACTTTTTATATTCGACCTCTTGATAGCGCATTGGCTCAGCTTTTTCCTGCGGGCCGCGGGTTCGAATCTCGCACAAATCTAGTTGCATATAACTCACGAGTAATCATTTTGGATTTAATTGCTTGCCGGCATGTAATTTATGTATATTAAAGGGATGTAATGAGCATATAATCGTTGGAAGCTTGGACTAACTCAGTTTTATACAAACAATAAAGATTCCTTTGTCATGGTTTTGCCGTTTCAAATAGTGGTTTATCCCTTTCAAAAAGTCAGTGCGAATGTATGGTCACTGTGTTCAACACCCCGCTTCCTATGGTGGTGCGTTATTTAATACTTTTTTAAAAGGTGAGCTAAATTAGTTTTACACAAGTAAGAACGACAGATTTACCTCAAAATCTGTCATTGATTAAGAATTAAAATGCATTTGCGTTGTCACCCCTGAGGACTGAGATAGTACTTATGCGTTATAGCAAAAACGTTTTTCAGTTCTCTGCACACACCATACGCAGCAGTATTTTACGCTAGTATTCTATTGCTCTATTGTGAAGAGTCAAAATGTGTCAAAAAAGGCACGTACGGCAATTCAAAATGCTGTGTTGGCCCCTACTTTAACGTATGGTAGTGAAAGTTGGGTATGGCAGAAGAAGCACGAGAGTGGAATAAATGCAGTAGAAATGCGGTCGTTGAGGAGTATGTTAGGGCTGAATCTGAATGACAGGGTGAAATTGTGTGATAAGAGAAGAGTGTGGTTTGCAAGATGATGTTGTGACCAGGATTGAGAAAGGAATGCTTCGGTGGTTTAGGTCGTGTGGAAAGAATGAATGAGGAAAGAATGACAAAGAAAATTTATATTGCAGATGTTAATGGCAGAGTCGGAAAGGGCCCTAGGCGTAAATTTATCGACCAAATTAGCGATTTATTAAAAACGGGCCAAATTAGGAGTACCCTTAACCGACGAGCATGTATGCGTAGGTATATAGTTGTGAAGTAGGCGAGAGAGGTGTGTCAGGATCATGCAAAATGGAAATCTGTAGTCTCTGCCTACCCCTCTGGGTGACAGGCGTGAGTGTTTATGCATTCTGTTAATATAATAAAGAAAAATAATTTTTGAACATAGTTTTATAATTTCTGACCTTAATATAGGTCAAATTTACAATTTCAACGAAATACTCTAATAATGTTAGTGTGTTCGAACATAAACTGAACGAAAGCTAGTGGTTCTTTTATAGTACTATAACGCCCATCGTTTAATACTTTTTCTCCATTAGAGAAACGTTTATTGTGTTTTCGTATCTGGTCAATAGAACGATTGGTCGAAGAAATTTCGCACGAAGCTGTAAGTTGTTATTTTGATGTGAATTTTTGTTGAGACCATTAAAATAACTATCGAATAAATAATAAAACAGGGCCACTAATTAAACAACAAAAATACATTAGAGAAATCTGTATACACTTGTTGAAATATGGATAAAAACGACAGTAATCTAATAAAAATTCGAATTGCGAAGTTCACGAATTCGTGGATTTGAATCCGCTGTCTTATTTGTAAACCGGTCCTAAGGGCCGATTTTTCAATCCTCAGATAGAAAAATTCATAGGATAAAATACAACATATAAACGAATAAAAAATTACAGTTGTGTGAATAAAAGTTCAAGGGTTTTATTTTTGTTATCAGTCAGATTATAACCAATGAAATTGTTTATCGTAATTATTTTAAGTGCTGAAGAAAATAATGTAACAAATTTGAAATATTCGCGACGAAACTTAAACGCCTGAGAATCAATATAAGTTGAAGTCGATTAACATGAATTGATACAGCGTGGTTGAGGTATTCCTACCTCACAAGCTCTCAAAAATAAGAAAACTTTAAAAAGACCTGTTTGACGTACGAGTATAAAGGCTATAGTAGTGAAAGTATGCGCCGTATACTGGCGGTGTGAGAATATCCAGCACCCCTTATTGTCCTGTAGGAAGCGGTATAATCGATTGCAAATGTGCAATCGATTATAGGTTATTTCCATAAACCAATAACAATAATAATATATAAATATCCAACTGCAGAGAGGTGTAACACAGGGTTATGTTATATCCCCGAAACTTTTCATCGCTGCGTTGTAAGACGTTTTCAAACTACTGGACTGGAAAGGATACGGTATTAACATCAATGTTGAGTACATCACTCACCTTCGATTTGCCGACGATATAGTCCTTACGGCAGTATCGCTCGAGGACCGAAGCTCAATGACCTCAATAGTGTCTCCCAACGGATAGGTCTTAAGATAAACATTGACAAAACAAAGATCATGTGTAACGTCCATGTCACACCTATGCCGGTAGTTGTTGGGAGCACTATGCTCGAAGTTGTTGACGAGTACGTTTACGTGGGACTAATATTCCGACTAGGTAAGTTCAACTTCGATCGAGAGGTCAATCAACGGATTCAACTCAGCTAGGCAGCGTTCGGGAAATTACGACACATCTTCTCGTCAGGTATACCTCAAAATCTGAAAACGAGATTGTACAACCGTACATGTTGCACTGGTTGTACTTATTTGTCTGGTCCTTCACTGCTAGCCGCATGAGGACGCTCAAGGTCGCTCAGCGAGCTATGGAGAGGGCTATGCTCGGGGGCTATATTTCTCTGCGTGATAAACTTGAAATGAGGATATCCGCAGTAGAACCAGAGTGACCGATATATTGTTATTATATATAGCAAGAGACCCAATGGTATGACTTTTGTCTCTTGGGAGAGGGGTAAATTGTTGCAAGCTTTTTGCGTAGACACTTTGACCACCTATTATCTCTGGGCCACTTCGTTTAGAGTCAGGGGGGACATCAGAGGCAGCTGAACTGAGTAAGTAGCACAAATATGACTGTCTAAGAAATGACGACATATTTGAACCACTTGCTGTAAAAACTCTCGGTCCGTGCGGTCCACGTGCGGTGAAGTTCTCAAAGAAACTCCATCTGCAACTAGCCGTTGCTGCTGGTGATAAGAGCGCTGGTTCTTTTCTCGCTCAAAGGCTATGTATAGATATTCAGCGAGGAAACGCAGCCAGATTTCTTGGTACTATACTGCGGAGAATAGGACTGTAAGATGATTAACGTTTTTTTTTAAATTGTGGTTCTGTAGTTTAATATGGTATATATTTCAATGTTATGAAAATCTATATTGAGTTTAAAATTCCTAGGTTTATATATATTTATAAATCCTCTACACTACGATTTTTTTCTGTATCGTGGAGGCAGTTTACAAGCATAAATTGCACAAGAACAAACATCTAGACCTTGAAAAATTATCTGTAGCCCATACAACAACTTGTTTCGCGCGGGATTCAAACCCACGGCCCTTAACGCCGTAACTCAATGTTAAGCCACTGCACCACGGAGCCGCCGAATGTTTCTACCAAAGCCAAGATTACTTGCTTTTTTGTATAGGAATATAAAATAACAGCATTTTATTGTTTATGATATGATCATAGTGAGTGAAAGCTCTGTTGTTTGTACGTAAATTATGATGTTTTATTTTTTATTTATCAGAACTCCTTGTCGAAGCAACTTTATTTAACGTTACTTATTTGTTTCCCTTACGGACTTGAATCGAGTGAAATGATAAGATTCTGCGTGAATTTTTTTACATATATGTAATATATTTTTCTTTAATTAAATTATAAGTATAAATATTCTAAATCTGTTTTCACCTACTAGCTGATAAGTGGCTTAATTTGAAATCATTTTGGCTTGTATTGTTTCAGGGGCTTTGGTTTCATCACGTTTGCTGATCCAGCTAGCGTAGACAAAGTTTTAGCTCAAGGCACACATGAATTAGATGGTAAAAAAGGTAAGCCATTAATCAGCTTTTAATAATATTTAAAATAAATAATTTTTAACTTAAGTCCTTCCTGAATTGTAATAAAAATATAAAAAATTATTTATTACGATTATTGCACTCGGTCCGAAGGTGGTGCTTCTGCGTGGCATTTCTCGAATTGTGAACAATTATATATTAATAGTTCAATTATATTTTAAACGATGGTCTATATAATACAAAAATTGAAAGTATGGTTGGTTATGTGGTAAACTCATGCTGCAACTATATTATGGTTGTAGCAGGAATGAGTCGGCTCGACAGGGAAGGGACCACACTCTCACAGAATAACACCGCAAAATAACAGTTTAATGCTGCTGTGTTTCGTATGGTGAGTGTAGAGAACTGGAAACCTTTTTTACTGGATACGAAGTACCCTCTCAGTCCTCAGGGGCGACAACTTATTTAAATTTTGATTCTTATTCGTTCATAAATGTAGATGTCTATGGGTCACAGTATCCATTAACAAAACAGGTGGCCTGTGTGCTCGTTTGTCACCCTTATTCTTTAAAAAAAAGTGGAACGTAATTTAAAATAAGACAATTTCAAAATAATTGCAACTTAAAATTTGTTTTTTCCAAATATAGGTATTCAATTTAATATCTCTTTACTTCAAATCAAATATAGTTCAATTCTTTATTAAATAAGTAGTCGAAATAAAAATAAAATGAATCTTAGAGAGTGATGATAAATCACTATAATTTTATATAGATTTCTTAAAACCTTATAGTATCCTAAAATATATTTTGAATTTATTGTTTTGGATTTTCACGCGAAAACGCTAGCCGCCATATTGTACATCTCGCGACGTCACTGCTTTAGTAAATAAGACGATTTTGCAAAACATTGAAATATTTTTGGATGTTTAATAATGAATCATCATCTTTATCATTTGTAGTTGTACCTGAATGCAAAAATACGAGCATAAGGACACCGGGAAAGTTATGGACTCGAGTGCCAACTAACTTAAATATGAGAAATACTTGATAAAACCTGGTAAGAAGAGACCTGAAGACATTGTCTTCAAAAACTAGACTATATTTCTGTGAAGATCACTTTGATGTAAGTTCTAGCGCTTATACCAGACAAAATATCATGAAGTTATGAGTATTGCAAGTCAATTTTTTATTTTTATTTATTTATTTAACCTTTATTATAATTCTTATAATAAGGGATATAAAGGGCGGACTTAAAGCCTTATACCATTCTCTGCTAATCAACCCTGGATGAAACTGTGGCAGGTGTAAATGTAAAGCACTTCAAATATTTAATAAATAAGTAGATATTAAAGATATATAATAAAATGCAAATAAATAGAATATAGTTTGTAAAAAATACACATAGTTTCTTAGTGTCTACTTTTAAACATGTAATAAATATATAAATGGTACTTCTATACGAAATCTATAAATAAATAAAATAATATAACACAAAAATAAAAAACACAATACATATTAAAATACATTATACAAAATATAACTTATAAAGTGAAAGAGAAAAGAAAGCAATTGTGGGATAAGTCCGATGGTAATATTCTTATTATAGAATTCTCGAACTAGTGTTTTAAAAGTATTCTTGTTACTAGTTTTCTTGATATCAATATACAAGACATTCCAGAGAAGTATGGACTGCTCAGTAAAAGAGGAATTAAAGAAACAACTCCAATGTGGTGAAATACGAATGTTATGGCTATTTTGGGAGTGCAGAACTCTATCGTGAGTATAATACAGATAATAAAAGTCATCTTTAAGATACAATGAATAGAAGGAGAATTAGGGTCATTTAAAAGTTATCTTAGATATAAGTAATGATTGTAGCCATAGATAAAGATAACTATATTTTATAAAAGACACTCTGACCTGGAATTGTGTTATTGTATTTACTAAAGATTTTAATGCATAGGTATTTACATTTATGTTTTTACGTTCTCAATTCGGCAGAACAAAAAACGGAATCGCATGCAAATAAAAATGTCATCATCAATGTATTTATCCTTGGTAGATTAGTACTTTTTGCTTTTACGGATCAGTTTTCCATGATGCCATTTAAATAAATACAGAATAAAAGTCAACAATCGTGATAATAATTTGAAAATTTTAGAAATAACACACAGCTCGTTAGTATGTTTACTTTATCAGTGACGTCACGACTGCATATAATGGTGGATAGTGTTTTCGAGATTTGAGGCATAGGTTAATAATATATTCTTAAAATTGAATTATAGAATTTATAAGGTTTTTTATAAATAGAAATCAACATTTCCTGTATCTACTTTTTCAAAACTTATCATAATTATGTATTTTTAAATTTTTTTACATGGTTCAAAATACCCTATTGTATATTACAAAATAATATTCTTGAGTGTTTGTTGAATCTATAAACTCAGCGTTATATCTGTCAAGAGACTAAGTTCTGATTTCTTCTAAAAGTTTATTGTCACTTCCAAAGTGACATAAATTCGTTGTCCTCCGGGCAAATGGCCTTTGCAGTCACCATAAAGTGTTAAATCACGGTCGCTTCTGATTTTTTTAGAAGTACCTACTTTTACTATAATTTTTTCTGAATGTTTTTGTTTATGAATAAAAATCATGTTACTAATTTAAAAATCTTGGTTAAAAAATATTTGCCACTATTCAAGCACTTTTTAAAAATGCAGGTTATACTTTTGTTCACAAAGTAATTCGACAAAAAATAATATAAGTTTATATAATGATGCTATAAAGAGCTTTTTTACCTAAACGCTTACACGATGAACTAAAAAAACAACATTCCATTTTATTTTTCCGAACCAACTATTCAATTTCAAAATTGGAATTTCTAGCCTCATTTAATATGTGCGTGCGTATTTTAATCATCGATGTTAAATAAAATCTGAAAAAAAAAAACGTCTATGACAGGTAGACAGTGAGGTCATGTTTAAGTATTTCAATTCTTAAATTTGGAACTGCAGAATATATGAGAAAATAAATTGACCTTTTTTATTTCACTTGTTAGCCGTTTTATATTGCATCCATTCTGAAAAGTCTATTAATCTAGCTCTGAAATTTATCACTAGAACCAACGAACGGGTCAACTACTGCAACTGTTTTATGACAGAGTAAGTATTATTTCGACGAACCAACTGTCACAAAGTACCGCAATACATATATTTTTGTTATGTGTAGTCTTTTTATGTATAATACAATCATTTTTATAAACATTTCGTGTTTCGAGTCATATTACGATCACCCGTTCCGGGCATTCATTCTCACTTTATCGACGGAGAAAAAGTCGATTACTATCGCTCGCCACGAAATAATCTAGATAAATTACAGCGCCGGTTGTTGTTTACTTTGATTAAATTGTAGTCTACTGGCGGGAGATTAGCCCAAGCCTCGCAAATCGAGCGAAGAGAGAGAGCATTTTCTCAATTTACATAAAACGAACGCGGAAGATCGCAATAGTGTTTACATTCAATGCTCTTATATTGCGTCTCTTATATTTTTTAGTGCAATTACTGTATTTATTAAATATAATTTAGGAATTCATAAGAAGCTAAAGTAATAACGTTATTACGCAATCAAGTTCAGTTGTGCACGCGTGCTAATGTTATTTTTAAACGTGATAATTGTTTGTTATTTTTTCTAATAATAAAACAATGTATATTTTTAATTTAATTTTCAAATAAAATAATATCTCTTAAATCTTTATCACAATAACCCAACACAAGACCACTTCTGAACATAGGGCTCAACTAAAAGGCTTAAATTGTCACAAAGCACGGCGCGAAATATTTGCAATAATCGACCTTTCGTGTTTCATGAGGTCATTATGTCATCTAGTTGGAATATGCTGCACTCGAAAACTTTCTTCCAAATTGATTGTCAAGTCTAACAGAAATAAAAAGAAAAGTGTCAGCTCTTCAGTATGACCCATCTATTACTACTATACAGCTTAATAACCGTTAAATTATTTCATTTACTCCTGTTCTGTTGCTGATCTTTACGAATGTAGTCATGTGAAACAGTTTCTCAGGTTATTTTTAATGAAATTAATACGACTGACGGTTAAAAACTATGTCTCGATTCCGTAAGTCTATACTAGCAACGCGCTGATTGCACATTGTTGAGATTCCCTACACTCATATACCCACCGGACGAGATGTATCACAATTTCTCGAATAGGGCCTAGATGAATTAGATTCATCGATTGACCTGTTGGAAGCAAGTTGATTTACCTATAATAGTTGGCACTTTATTCTAAATAAGTAAATATACTCCCGCGCCCTTCGCTATTGGTAGTACTGAGTTAGTTTTGAGTTAGTAGTTAGTAGTTAGAGTTGAGGCGTTATAGCCAATTAAACAACATGAAAAGCAGAACACTAGCAATATAGTGCACTTGAATTTACGAGGAGTGGTATGCATGTAAACGCGTTATTGGGAAAATCATGCCGGTCTTCGAATTCTGGATGCAGCGAAGTGTAGAAAGACTCACCTATAGACTTATATAAGACCGGGGCCTCTATGATTTGAAAAGAAAAAGTTTTATAAGAAAGAAAAAAAAAAAGAAGTTTTATAGAGTAGTTCAGCGATATAGCGTCATCGTATCGTGCACCCTTTTGCAGTTGAATGGGATTTGTTCTCTTTGTACAACCGTACATTTAAATAGATATCACAGCCTTATGATAAAATATTTCAGCACAACCAAACACATTTATAAAACCTGACATCATTGAAGGTATCCAAACAAATTCAAGTGAATTTGTTTGGATACCTTTTGTTGATACTAGACAACGGCTAAATATTCTACTCAATTTTTTGTATAACTATTTCATATATATTGTGTGTCACCTCGTTGTCTGTGTCGCTTACCTTTGTTTGTCACAGGTATGTTTTCTGAATTCTCAGATACTACTAGACATAGGTGAATGAAATTTAGCATAGGTAATATAATACGCTACAGGAAAAAGTGATTATATATTATGGGAACGTGAGAAAAAGAAAATTCATGAACATGA